CTTTCAAATAAAACAACCTCACTCCAGCCCAGCACACCCACAGGTAAATGGACAAGTAGAGGTCATAGTAAGAACAGTGCTATGCAACCTAAGGACAAGGCTTGAAAGAGCGAAGGGTCTTTGGGTTGATGAGCTATCTGGAATACTGTGGGCCTATCGAACCGCACCAAGAACTCCTACTGGGGAGACTCCTTTCTCCCTCGCCTTTGGAACTGAGGCAGTCATCCCTGTGGAGATTGAGGTACATTCTCTAAGGGTCCAGCACCATAACCCCATCGCCAACGAGGAAGGACTCCGTATCAACCTCGACTTGGTGGAGGAGGCAAGGGAGATGGCTGTGGTCCACAATGCGGAGTACAAACGATGCATAGCGAGATATTATAACTCAAGGGTAAAGCCTCGTTCCTTCCAACCAGGGGACTTGGTCCTCAAGAAAGTAATCCTCGCCATAAAAGATGCGCGCGAAGGAAAGGTAGGACCAAATTGGGAAGGACCCTATCTCGTAACAGAGGTGGTGAGGCCGGGCACCTACATGATCTAGAATTCTGATGAAAAAGTCTTACTCCATCCATGGAATGCGGAGCATTTGAAGAGGTATTACCAATGACACCCTCAGAGCATCAAAATAGTGGAATTTGGGACTTGATTTTATTTTTAGGGGTTATTACCCAATATTCAATGTACCTTTTTGAAAATTATTACCCAATGTTGCTTTAAATAAGTAATAGATTAATAAAATTTTCTACATTTTTACTCCAAAAAAGATCTTTTGCATTTCATTTCAAAGGAGTATCAATACAAAAGTGAGGCTATAAACTGCCTTTCTTAAAAAAAAAAAAATCAAAAGTCCTAAACACTCTAACTGCTCTCACGGTCGTCCTCCACCTCCTCCTTGTCATCCTCGGCATTATTAGAGCCCCCTCATTATTATCAGTAGGCACGAAATCTGAGAAGTCAATGCCAAGAAAAGCAGCAGAGATCTTCCCTCGGAGATCCTCGAAACCATCAATGAAAGTATGTGTGAGGCCATTCTCCAAGTCTTCCTCAGCACGGGAAGCTCTTTCCTGAGCAGCCTTCAACTTTGCCGCCTCTCTGAGCATGGCCCTCTCATGGGCCTCTGCAAGCTCAGCCTCCCTGAGTGCGTTCCTCTTATGGGTCGCCAGAAGCTCAGCCTCAAGTTTAGTTGCTCGCTCACAAGCCTCAATAAGCTGACCCTCCTTGAGCGCGTCCCTCTCATGGATCGCCAAAAGCTCAGAGTCAAGCTTGGATGCCCTCTCGTGAGCTGCCACAAGCTCATCCCGGGAAGTACTACTAGCTGCCTCGAACTCGGCAATCCTCCCTTGAGCAATAAGAAGCTCCCTTTGCATGACGTCAAAATCCAGCTTCAACTTTGTTGTGATTATAGGCCTTTGAAATCAAGCAAACAAATGAAGTCGAAACCTGAAGAAGGTGAAAGGTGGAAAGGTTACAAAAGACGTAAGAAGTAAGTGGAGAAAGAGAAATAACAGACCCTTACCTAAGTCAGGTCTTCCAAATATATGTTGACAATCCTCTCAGTGCCAGAAGTACTAAGTTAACAAACTTCGGGTGCGAACACAAACCTTCCAAGCCTTTCTCTAATGACTGGCGGTCTGCCCATCATGGGACTAAGCCAAGTCGATCCTCTAGCGGAGTTTTCCGCATGAGGAGTGGACAAAGGAGGAACAGAGAGTGTGCCCGACAAGGAAGATTCTGGAGTAGCAACTAAAGAAATCGCTGACTGATGAGGTACCACCGTAGAAGTCACTTAGGGGGCATCAGCCGTCCTCGCCACCTTAGAAGAAAGAGGGCTCTTGCTAGAATAGCGAGACACTACCACTCTTTTACTTGCTGCGAAAACAATAAAGTGTTAGGGAGGTGAAAAATACCAAGGAGAAGGGGAAAATTAAAAGAGAAAACTAACTCACCCTTTTTTTTTGAAGAGGAACCACCATATTTTTGAGAGGGAGCAACGATCCTAGTATCCTTGGGCAGAAGAGCTCCCAAATCTTTGTAAGGGCAAGCCTTGATGGCCTCCAACTTCCACTCTTGATCTTGAGAAAACACAAGCGTATTTACAAGGGAATGATGAGCACACATAAAAAAAAATAAGAAGAAGAAGCAAATGTGCGGCGTACTAGATTTTCTGGCAGCACCCCAATGTATTGGCACCAAAGCTCTATCGGCTTCTATGGCCCCCTCTCCACCAACAAAGAAGAAGCAAGATTTCCAACCGCAACAATTGGAGCACATTCCCGTGAGCATGTACCACTTCTTGTGGTAAAGTAGTACCACCCCCTATTTGGTGCAGGAGTTTTGCTCAAATTATATGTTGCATGGAACTCCACAAGAGAAACATTCTCATAGTTCACTTTCCTCCATAATGTAAGAAAACCCAACAGAACTCTCCAACCATTGGGCGCTAATCGCCCTGGAGTCAAGGAGAAATAATGCAAAATACGACAAATGAGAGGGGACATTGGGAATCTTAGCTCAGCCTCAAGCATTTTTTCATAAACAACAATATCACCAGAGGAGGTGTCGCAAACAAGCTCACCCGTCTCAGCCTAGCGACACAACACAATCGGGGGAATACGATAAATAGAAACAAGCCTCAAGATATCTCCATCCGAATTGAACAAACTAGAAAAGGTACTCACCTTAGACCCATCGTCATCAAGTCCCAGTTTGCCTTTTCGCTTCTTCTTTCGAGGCCGTAAGGAGTGGCCCGGGTTATCGTCTTGAGGGATTTGGCTTTGAGAAGTCACATTTGAAGGAGTCAAATCGTGATGACCAAAAGCGGCACCCAAAGCTTCATCGTCGCCTGCAGTGGTTAGCCCAACACCTAGAGGGGTGCCTGACGCTCTATGCTCTCCCAAACGAGACAACCCAAACCCTGGATAGGTGTCTGGCCGCCTCTGCTCGCCAAAACAGGACAGCCCAACGTTGCCTGGCGCTCCAAAGTTGCACAAAACAGCTCCAAAGATGCCCGAGTTAGCACCAAAAGAGGCGCCCAGCGCTGCCTACCCAGCTCCCATGTTGCACGACTTCTGGCTTGGGCAGCCCTTTTTTTAGCCTGCACATCGCTGTCCAACCCACTAGACAGCACGCGCGCACTGCCCAGTCGTGCGCCTGCATGCTGCCTAGTCTGCCTCCCTGCACACTGCCCAGTCCGCCTATTCGCGCGCCAGTGTTGTCCAGCCGACTGGTTTGCGAGCCTGAGCTGTCCAACCCACCATTTTCGACACCCAAGCTGTCTGGGACAGCATTTTCGGCACCAAAGCTGTCCAGGACAGCACCTCCAACACCCAAATGGTCCAGACCAGCCTCTAAGCTTCCCAAACCAGCGCCTAAAGTGGCGCCTACCTCCTCCCTTCCTTCGATCTCCACCACTCCCTCTTCAATCAACATGGCCCACTTGAAAACTCCACTAGAAAAGAAGAAATCCCACCTATGCAAATGGGTGTGTATATATATCTATATACTCTTGGCAGGATTCAAGAAGAACACACTTGTTCCTCTCAAGTTCCAACAAAATGGGTAGGACTTGGGTTTTTAAAGTTCTCAAGAATGGATGCTCAATCTCAAGGCAAGTGATATATATATATTTAGCAACCTGTGAAGGAGAGATGATGGAGGGAAGGGAGAGACGGGCGGCTAATAGAGGAGACTCAGGAGGTAAGTTAGGGCTTGGGATATATATATATTTAGCAAGTAGCGGGGACGGGAGTAAGGGTAAGTCCATTCCCGCACGGGTTTATACAGGTATTCCCATATACGTCAACTGTCCAATACGTATAGTCCATACCAGGTCCAAACAAGACAGAATTGAACGAATACTCGTTTTTCTCCGATCTACTGCCATCCTTAAATATCACCCTATAATCCAGACCCAATTCCAACAAATCCACAATCTAATAAATCTCCAAACCAATCAACCCCAATTGGAACTGATAATTACCAAATTCAATGGCATGTGACAATATTAGTTGACAAATGAAAAATTTCAGGAGGTCTATATGTAATTAACTCTATATGAATAACATGCCTTAGATAAGTAACAAGGCAACCAAACGTTTAGATTTGGCGTCCCCTCAAAAGGTAGATCATATGATGGTAAAAGCTTGAAGTTAGGTTCTGAGTGGATGTTTTAGGTTGGATCTCGTATGAATAAAGAAAGTCAATCCGCATGCAGATGCATCATGCGCTTGCTTGGTGGGTGGTGCTATGCCAAATAACCCATTTTTTTATTGGGTAGTCCCATTTTCACCCAACTTTTATTGAATAAAGCAAAGGTTGCTGCGATGACCCGCTCTTGTTTGGGAAAGTCTATCGTAATTTGTTTGGTATAGTATAAAAAATTCAGTTGTTTATAATAAATTGTGGGTAATTCGTATTTAAAGGCATGATACAATGTCTATAATTTTAAAAGAGATATTAGTAGCCATTCAATAAATTTATTTAAAACTATCGAATAAATTTGTTAAAATTTATCTTATTTTATATTATAAAATACACCTTTAAAATAAGAAATTTCAATTGTTCAAAGAAAATCTATAATCTATCGTAAACACTCATGATTGGTCATGAGTTTCTTTTCGGCAGTTATAATTTTTTTCTTATAAGTTGTAATTTGATATTTAAAAATTGTAAGTTAATCTTTAAAAATTATAATATTAATATTTATAATTTGACATTTAAAAATTATAAGTTAACCTTTAAAAATTATAATTTTAATATGATCAATCATGTCATTTATAAGTTGTAATTTATATTTTAAAAAATTATAATTTAACTTTAAAAAATTATAATTTTTGATACCATATTGCGTATACTACTACACAATCAATAACAACCATTTTCTCTTAAGTTGATGTATAAATATTTTTAAAGCGAATGGGCTTCCCATATCATCAAAACCAGTGGCCTAAGGTGTTCGAAGTGTTGTCTGTCTCTGACTCTTCTCTCTCTTGCTCTCTCTCTCTCTCTCTCTCTCTCTCAACTCTCTTCGATTTCCGTCGTCTTCCATGGTAACTTCTCAAGCAAATCTCCAATAGCTTGTCGAGCTCATCATCCAATACTCGAACACAATTAGAAGTCCAATCACTATACGCATGTCAATCAATATATAAAATATTAATGAAAATCTCACTTTCGCTATCTATCAGTCTTCAATTACCTTCTCTTTCTCTCCCTCTTTCTCTCTCTACGTTTGCATATATACGAAACATATTGCTCTGTTGCAGAAATCTAGGTACAGTCTTGGCAAGAGAATTCATGCTCGCAGATAACTTTCATGGCTGACCCTAAATGGAGACGATCATTCATTTATCGATTCATTCCCACTGCAATTTTGATTTCTGCTGCTTTCTTCATAGGGAGTGCATTCATTGTTCTAGATTATAAACAGGTACACACGCACGCACGCACGCACGCGCACACACACACACAGATATATATATATATATATATATATATATATATATATATATATATGTTGTCGTTATGTTCAACCTGTAATCCTACAAAATTCCCTAGTTTTTATAGAACTTATATTGAATAGACTTGGAGTTATTGTGGTTTATGGGGCTTTCCGTGTGCAGAAGTATTCAAGATTGCGAGTTGTTGATGCTGTGGAGATGACAAAACCTAATATTTGTGAGGTTTGTCTGTACTATTTTCGGCTCCCCCCCCCCCCCTTCTGAAGTGTGTTGTTGATTTCTGAAAAGTAGTGTATGGTCCCTTTTGAGCATATGAAGTTTTGTAGTGTATGGTCCCTTTTGAGCATATGAAGTTTTACTCAATAAATTCTGTCTTTTTTTTTTCTTTCCTTTTTTTTTAATAAATTCTGTCTTTGACATTGGGTTACGATTCAGAATCAGTGCAGACCTGATGGGAGTGAGATTTTGCCTAGCGGAATTGTTTCTAGAACTTCTGACTTGGAGATGCGGCCATTATGGGGCCCACGAAACAAAAAGGTAAAATCTCTCTCTTTCTTCAAGCTTGCATCAAAGAAAGAAAGAAAGAATGCATAGGCATAAGTGTGTTCGTGTGTGTTTACTGCTTATCCATGTAGATATGAGTGTCATTGACATGCACAGGAGTTATTTCTGCTGCATTATTTATGCAGGAATTAGATACTCTCAACTTGCCAAAAGCTATTTAGGCATCACTCTTAGGCCTCTGCAATTCCAATTGAAGGAATTAACTATTCACTATAGTGCCAAATTTATTCGAATGTCCATGAGAGTTTGATTCATCAGTGAGGGGCTAAAAGTTTGGGATGGCTCAGATGCCATATGGGTTGAACAAGTTTAGAAATGGAAGAGGCAGAGAAACTGATTGCTTGACCTTGACATGTCGAACATTGAAATGCGCTACTATTTATGTAATAACAGTGTATCATGGTTTCTTTCCATCTCCTGTTAATTTTCTCAATCCCGGCTCTTTTACCTATTTAAATTGGTGACCATAATTTTATTTCCACTTCAAGCAAATGTATGGTACGCTATCATTTTAAGACCTATTTATCATGCATTCATCAGATCAAGCCAGACAATATCTGCTACCAGCGTTTTGTGCATATGATTCATGACGTTAGTAATTTAAGAATTCATATGGCAGAGCCTTTTGAGTCAACATGATGTTTGAGAATCGGGCCTTGATGTTGTCTCTGCCAGCGATAATTAACTACTCTCGGTTGCCTTTCTATGGAGCCTAACCGAAATTGGTATCCTCACGAATAATAAAACGAGAACTTAAAAATTGGGTTGATTAGATCAAAATGGCTATACATAAAGTAGAGCTTTAGAAACCTAAATAAATCATAGGTGTTTTGTAGTTTCATTTCTAATCTTTTGTGTGGTTAATCTTACGGTATAGTTCTGTCTATTCAATGCAATCCTATCTGATACGTGCATGATCTGACATTTTTTTTTTCGTGATATTCAACCCATAATTTATGTCATTCATCTGAATTGTTTGCATTTATCTGATTTAAAATTTTCTGTTTTTGCATTTATTCCCAAGAAGAAATCAAAGTCACCAATGAACTTGTTGGCAATGGCAGTTGGAATAAAGCAAAAGAACAACGTGAATAAAACTGTCATGAAGGTAATAAGCAAAATTTTGCATATGCCAGTTGCTAGGTTAAATATTTATTTTGTGTCTAATCATTGGTTCTTTCTCATATTGCAGTTTCCGGCAAATGATTTTGTCATTATGCTTTTCCATTATGATGGTATGGTGGATGATTGGAGGGATTTTGAATGGAGTAGTCGTGCCATACACGTCTCCGCTGTTCATCAAACTAAATGGTAATGGTTCTTTGCTTTGATTTAAGTAAATTTTATATATTCTTAGACACGTTCTGTTTTGCACCAATTACTTAGGTGGTTCGCCAAGCGGTTCCTGCATCCAGATGTTGTGTCAGAGTATGCTTACATTTTCCTTTGGGATGAAGACCTTGGGGTTGAAAATTTCAATGTTGCACGGTAATGGCACATACATATACCTACACATATCTGGCGACATGCATAGGCATGGGTACCTATATGCATATCAGCACACATATTATCTGGCTGCAGTTTCTCATCTTATAAACTTTAACCTTAGTAAAATGGATTTGGTGGTTGCACATGGAAGTATTAGTATATTATCGTTTTTAGCTTTTCCGACACTTGTTGCTTGGAATAGATTGGTTCAAGGAACAACAAACATGATAGGAAACTCCCACAGTTCCAGTTGTAAGCATCTTGAGAAAACTTGTTCCACTTTTTGGACAATTACTGACACACCAGTTTATTTAGCTTGATGACAATGTTCATTCAAAACTTAAGAGAACCTTTCTTCTATTTCATTGAAAGAATCTTCTATTTCACAATTGCATTCTATTACTATAGAAATATTTTGTCTGAATGTTCTACATATCAATGAAACTGAGAAGGCAATTATAGGAAATTGCATATCTTCAGAAGATTTCCATCTGACGCCCAAACTTGCTCCATTTTACAGAGTTAATATGTAATAGAAAGCTATAGGCTTCTGTTGAGTAGCCATATTTTCCTCATATAGGACTTGAATTTCACAACCAAGAATGGTGATCATCATATGGTAACTACTGTTTAAAATTCTTGGCTGTCCATCTTCAACTTTATTGTTATATGCAGATATTTGGCAATAATTAAAGAAGAAGGGCTTCAGATATCACAGCCAGCGCTTGATCCTCGTAAATCGAAGGTGCATCACAGACTTACAGCACGACAAAAGGGTTCAAAAGTTCACAGGTATTTGCTTTCAAATAAATAAGTGTTCCGGTCTACCATGACAATATAATGTGGCTTTTGCCTTCCTTTGACAAAGAAGACAAAGTGATGTTTTTCAGCAGGCCTTACACATTTTCTTCGTCAAACAGTTAATTTTTGTTGAGGAAACTTTTCATCTACTGCATTTTCTCGTGCTAACAGAAGGATTATTAATTCAAGTGTTGCTAGGAAGGGGTGTAATGCAAACAGTACACAGCCTCCATGCACTGGGTAAAGAATCTGCTTACAGATCTCTGTTATTGTTAAAATGCCATTTGTTTTTTTTATATGTTGACTTAAATTACTCGTATATTAATTCTTGCCCCATGTATCTAGTAGTAATGAAAGAAATAATAATGCATCGTACAGGTGGGTGGAAATGATGGCTCCTGTTTTCTCCAAGGCATCCTGGCGTTGTGCATGGTATATGATTCAGGTAATTATAAAATAACATCAAAAGGGGAGGCAGATTTAAATGTTTGCGAATATTATGTAGATGTTTAACAGTTGGATAAAGATGCTGGTATATCTGTTCACAATTTGACATTGTGAATATGATTCTCATTATTGTGGGCAGTAGCCTAGCATATATGATTCTAATCATTGTGGACATTGGCTAATGTAGTTTGTCTACAGTAGCCATGTCTGAAGTCATGGCTTCATGAAAGTTGGAGGATAATGTAGTTTGTTTTCTCTTTGTTTTTCTACAGAATGATCTAGTTCACGCATGGGGATTGGACTTCCAGCTTGGTTACTGTGCACAGGCAATTTTGCCATTCTAGAATAACTTTGTTTTCTATCTATTCACTTAAAGAAATTTCTAACTTATGACGTGTGTGGTTGACAGGGTAACCGAACTCAAAATATAGGAATAGTTGACTCTGAGTTCTTGGTTCACCAGGGTCTTCCTACACTTGGGGGTTCAGCTGTAAACCAGGTATGCCATTAAATGAGGGAGGAATTGAATTGCTCCTTATATCCTCTTTTTGTTTCAGTCTTAAGAATCATTTATGCAGTCTGATACTTCTCATTAGTAGTGCCTCTATTTCTTGTTGAATATTGCCTCGTCCTCCTAGTTCTTGTACTTAGGTCATGGTCACGCATGGAAGAACAATGACAGCCAATTAGTAAACATTCTTATTGTTTTGCTCAAAACCTCTCACAAATATTGCTATGGCATATGAGGCAGCATGTTTTAGAATCCAATAACAGGCTTTAAAATACAGCAATTTTTCTTTTCTTTTTTTCACAAGTAAACACACAAAATTTTCAATTTGTTTTCCTTAGACAGTACAATGTAAAAAACTTCCAACTGTATAATAATAAGTATAATTTGAAAGTGAAGAGCTGACAATTAATATCCTATGCAAGAACAGGATGCTTTAATACAGCATTTGATCAAAATATTTGCATAAAGTATCCATATAATGGTACGCCTACTGTAAACCATTTCTTCATAAGAGGTGGTCACAAGTGTGACCACAGTCTTACCATTACCGCTTCCTATATCACTTGGTATTTCTCTACAGATGATTTCCTATCCCTTTCATGTAGACACAATTCGCTGTGGTTATATCAGAGCATTACTCCTCTTATCCGTTAGCTGTTCTGAGAAGAAACTGGATTGGAAACATTTTGTTTCTTTTTAATCAGGAAATAGAAACCTTTTGTTTAGTTTATGGCATTTGAACATGGTTGAGGTGATAGATTTTTAGATCAAAGTGAAGGAATATAAATCGCAGGTATAATCTGGTCCAAGAAACTAAGTAAAATTGGAGGAACGATAGAGCACAAACTTCTAATTGTTCATTTTTATGGCCAAACCTTTGCTAGTACTTAACTTGGAATAACCTGGACTCTCTTTTCTTCCTCTCTCCAAATAATAGTGCCAGACTGCTTTATTATTCACTGATTCATTGATCCTTGGTGCAGAAAAATACTGAAGCAATCAGCGAAGCTTCTCAAAATGGAAACTTGCCAAACGGAGGAGCAATGGTATCTGTGGAACCCCTATTAATGTATCACACAAAAAATTTACCCTTAATTCATATTATAATCTGGTCATTTTAAATTGCAGGCACCATCTGTGTCTCATCAACCCAATACAAGAGATAAGGTGAATCTTGAATCTTGATATGTAATTGTCTACACACTGCGACTTTTCTTCATGTTGAAAAGGGTAATGAGGTGCCTGTTGAGGCATCTTGGAAGGTTTTGCACCTTTGTGTTCAAGTTTACCCCACTTAATGGTGGTCAATGAGCTGGGTCTAGCAGATCTGTCAGGTACTCCATGCCATGCATGTCGGACTATTGGACTGGTCCATGGCTCACTGGGTTAACCGGCCACTGGCATTTTTCCAAGCCTAGCCATAGCCACACAGCACAAATGATTTGCTATCTATGTTACATATAAAGTTGTATTTTCACTAAATCATTGTAACTCCTGTTTGCTGCAGGTGATAAAGGAGTCCTATATTGAGCTAAAAAGATTTAAAAACAGATGGAGAAAAGCGGTTAGAGAAGATAAATGTTGGGCTGAACGCATCAGCAACCATTGAAGACTAGCTGAATGTGGCACCTGACTATACTGGTAGTTCTTTTTTCTTTGTAATAAAAAAAGTATAGAAAGTTTCTCTAGGAAAAAAAAACAAGTATAGATGTTATGTAAATTGCAGTGACAAATTCTTATTGTTCTTGCGATGATGATTCTATATAAATAAGTATAGGTGTGATTTTTTTCTTCTGTACATTGTTTTCTGATGAATCTTGGCTAGCTGATTCCATGCCTAACAAAATTCAATGCAAGTCCATTTGCACACACCAGACTAGAGATTGACGCTTATTGCATAATGATTTGTCATTCAACGCAATTCAATACCCATGTTAGCAGAGAGAAATTCTCTCAAATACATTCTGACTCCGTTTTGGTGAGTCCCACAACCATACATGTTGTATTATCTACCATTATGTAAAATTAAAAGAAAATGTATTTAAAGGGATCTGGGTCCATTGACACAATCAAGTTCTTGCGTGATGTATGCACCTCTCGTGTAATACCATCTCTTATTTACTTCACCCCCTGTTAAATTCTTCGATTTCACCATTACATCAGTGTACTCATGCTAATAACAACAAATAAATATACATTCTTACTGTCTATTAGATCTTTTTGTACTTGTACTTTTATCACACCATATCCATGTCTGGTTCTGAAAACAAAAACAAGACAATAGGTTCAATAAAGACTAATAAATTCAAAGTGGCATCAAATGCGACTCCTTTTGCTAACAACACCACTGATGAGTTGTCCTAGTTCCTCACCACAATCCTCCTGTACATGATGCCCAGCCTGCAAAAGCAGCAAGTCATGCAATCTTTTTCATCCCCCAAAACAACTTGATTACAAAATAAACAAACCAAGGCACATTAGAAGAGGTTTCACCCTGTACTCAAAATTTAAGTGAAAACGTTACAATGCGTAAACATGGATTTCTGGGGTGAGAGAGAGAGAGAGGTTACTCAACCCTCCTGAAGACAACTATGTCAAATGGGACATGCAAATGGAGAACAAACCAATGAAGCAGATAATTTATCTAAATAATACTGAAACAATTTAAAAGCAATTTCATAAAGGCTTAAAAACTAATCCTGCTGAAAAATTTTCCTTGTATGTATTTTAATATGGAACAACTTCACTGGAAATCTGTTGCCTGAAATTTTTTTAGGATTCCATGTTACTTTCAAAATGGATTTCATTGAATCTGATATTTCCCATAATTTTCAAGTACCATATATTGTGCCTAGTGTTGGTTTGAGGGGAGCATTTCCGTTTCTCTACTCCTAAATAATTAAAATTTGTGGATGGCTAGTTTAAGTATGTTCTTTTCATTTCCTAGTGTCACCCAGAAACAATACAAAATTGCATCATGGACTTAAATTGCTAATCTTTCTCCTTCCTAAGTCCCATTTTTCCCACCAAACAGTAGATACTACTGTACCACAAGCCAGACTGCTGGTTGTAACTAATGCGGTGACGATGGGGTGGGACCATGGGAGTTACAGGAGGGCTGCTTTACTTCAATGGGATATGTGCAGCAAATGTAATGGGTGAACAGTTGAAAAAGCAACTTACATATGTGAATAGAAGGTGTAACATAGGTTTACCAAGCAACTACAATAGTTTAAAGAACTATTGGTACCATAGGAAGTTCCACCAGTCGAAGCTTTGATTTTTTGCAGAAATCTTCTACGCCATCAAAGCCCAGCCAGCGGTCCCTTTGGCCCCAGCATATGGTAGTTTTAACTTTCCAGTTATCATCCATAAGTATCATTCGCATATCTTCAACATAGGTCTGCATAGCAATCAAAATAAAACTCAATAGCAATGAATCTTCTTTCACGGAGTAATTGACACTGAGGTTTGAAGACAGACACAGGCCTATATGCTGATAATAAATTGACAATCTGGATATTCAATTCCATTGAAAAACCAGCCTGACCAGCTGAGCATGCAACTAAGTTCATTCGGCATAGAGGAAGGAGGCAAAACTCTTGCCCTGGCCTCACCTGTTTAAGTCAATGTTGGGAAACTTATCAAGTTCTTTCATGATCTAGATGGTAGTACACTGATGAAGTGCATTGGAGACACCACAGATGACACTGCATATCCATGTTACTACCATACGTTTCTTTCTGATTTGGTCTCTAAAGTGAGTCTGTCCATTTCTCTAGCATTTGTAGACCATTATTGTGCGGTATGATTTTAGCACAATAGATGAAATAACAGATCTCTCTTATGGTGAGCTCGAGTTTGTCGAGAAAGTCGTTTCAATGGAAGGCCTTCAGGAAGAAAGGTGATGAACAATAGATGAAAACTCTCTACAAGCAGGGTAAGTTCTCGAACGGAATCTTGTCACTCAAGAAAGAAGGGCTAGAAGGGCACCGGAATATTTTCCGGTGTGACCCCTTCAACGCTCAAGTCAGTATTCGAGAAAGGGTTTGAAAACACTGTTCTATTGCTTGGGAAATAGGTAATGTACCTGAACTTTGAGCTTGAGGGTGCTATTTATACCTTCCAGGAATGGATCAAGGCGAACAGCTAGGTCCCTTTGGAGAGAAAACACCTGGTTGGCTCTTATAAAAGGACATCATCTAGTTCGCATATCTTGATCTGAGTGCCTGCTTCTCCCTGTACTAGAAGCTTCTGAAGTCACTCACTCAAGTCCCCGAGTATTTAATATACGCTTCTCGGCTCCGCCGAGCAATGAATACACCCCACGCCCCTACACAATCAGTTAATGTGCCTTAGGCATGGTTGTGCACACACATGGGTATTTTCGCCAATCCCCCTTCAAAGGGCCAGGAATTAATTGTCTCGTACGCCATATGCCTTTGTCATTGGCTATTCAACTGTCTTTCTGAACATTCTCAATGCCTTGGGGAAAGGAGCCAATACTTATAGTCTATTTCGCTCCCAAACCATGATCCTCAAAAGCTACTTTTTCTCGATCAAGGGTATACTTGCTTCAGTTAGTCCTTTCCTATTTTTCTCGAGATTTCAGCTCATCTCTTGGTTGGGATTGTCATCGGGGTGACTGTTCACCAAGTGCCGACATGCTACATGTATGTCGAGGTGACGTGGACAACATACAGAGGGAAGGCAAAGCACACCAAGGTACCTCATTCGAGCTGAAGTCACAACAACCCCTCCGGGACAATATGTCAAGGTGGACCAATGGCGCCGAGGACACGTGTCGCTTGTCCATACGATTGCTAAAACGTCCCATCAACTACCCCCCCAGCCCTTGATCTTCGTACGGGCTGGACGACATGTCAGATAAAGATTAAAGGGCCTGTACTTGCTGTCTTTTCATGAAGGACATGTAGTCGTTTTTCTCGCCTTTGGGATCCATACCACATTTAATGCGGCTCATCGCATATTATGCGTAATGATGGCCTCTTGCCATATTTAAGCAATCCTTTTCCTTCTTTTCGTCATTTTGCTTACTGAGAGAATTTTATCGAGTGGTTTGCTGGAGTTTCTACAAGGAGGCTATTGTCCATCAAAATGCCACCCATCTTTTTTGAGTTCGCCAAAGAAAAGAGCAGACCATCACCCCCACCCTCTTTCTAAGGTCTGTTTGTGCCGTGACGAGTCCTACTCTTGGCTTGGTTCTGAATCTCAGTTAAACCAGTTTGTCAATAACTGCCTTCTCTTTTCTTTTTCCAGTGATCGCCCCCTGTCCATCTCTCTCTTCGTGGATCTTCCCTTAAGATCCTATTCCTGAGTCCCCTTCTGTCTTTCCATGAAAAGACGTCGTCAGAATACTAGTGCTAGTACCGATGAGCCTAGTTCCTCTAGACAGAGGAAGCACACGATCAAAGGTTGCCAGGAAATTACGAACTTTAAGGCTCACCATTTGATTCCCCTTGGGCTGACTGTTTATGAGTTCATACCCAAACTCCATTGTGCCGACGTCGGCACTGAGACAGCCATGCCCTTCTTTACTAAGGCCATTATAAAGGGAGGTATAAGATTCCCTCTTCACTCTATCCTTCTTCGTTTCTTATCCCGATTCTGTCTTTTCCTAGGGCAGTGTTGTCTAAACACTTTTACGATCATCATGGGAGAGGCTGCCCTTGAATGAACGTCTTCAAGTCAATTAAGGCCCGAGACCCAACCATATACCTCGTGACACATCTAATGAACTCCAACAAGGGGTTCAAGGATAATTTGCTTGTCTTTGGTGACCAATGGGAGAGAGAAGTCGGCTTGGAGTACGTCGATTTGTGGTGCCCCAAGCAATGACGGACTGCGAATACGTTGGCCTCACTCTCACTTCAACTTCCCATACCACGACATTTTTGTACTTTGCTTCAAATCCCCTCTCTTTGCAGGAGTCACTAATGTCGAGTCTTCACCTCCCCCTCAGAACCTTGTCAATCTTTTCGATCTCTTCACCGCCCAAGGATACATGGGAAACGGTCTTAGCCGAATTGCTCACATGTTGTTTGATTACACCCTGGGATACATAAATTTTTCCCAAGCCCCCCAAGACTTTGACTCAGTGAGGTGGAGAGAGCTATCCAGCGAGAACTTAGAGAAGCCTCGATTGAGCTGTCAACGCCGAGGTAGAGAAGGCACAAGGTGAAACTGCCAACATCGTGGCAAAAAGAAGCACAAGCCACCACCGTCGATGCTGAGGCAAGCACTTCAGGAAGGAACAACTAGCTTAACTTCGAAGTTCTTCAAAACTTTGACGAAGACAATGCCTTAAAGCTTACCATGTCTAACCAACCCCGACTAACCCGCGACATGATCAAAGCTAGGGTTGCCCTCACCGTCGAATGGGGACGCAGCTTGAGGCCCGAGGACATTTCCTCAAACTAGCGACAAACTCGTCCATCTGGGGTTATGATCCAGAGGGTCGTTCCACCGAGGGTTCTGCCTCCTGTCGATGCTCCAATTGTGCCGACACCTAGCCGTGATCATGTTCACAACAGATCCTCAAATTGAGGAGAGAAGAATCAAGCAAAGACAAGAAGGCGCTGGTTGTGGCCGGCGTGCTCCTTCTCCTACGCCGACGCCTATTGATGGTCAAATTAAGCCAGTTGCCCACATTGGCTCCAGAATGGTGTGCTCGGGCCTACGATTGCAAAAACAAGTTGATCCGAGTGTCTGACTCCATTGTTAGCTCTCTTTACGTTGCCTATGCTGTGAGTGAAACTCTTCGATTTGACGCCGACATGGAGGTTCACAGGGTATGTGGAAGCAACCAGCTATTTTGCCTCCTTCATTTAGAACTCTCTAGTGGTAAGCTTAATTAACTTGTGAATTTTTACGTTTATAAACTTAACCTTTGTGTCTGACCTCCCTAATTTCGTCTTCTAGGTGTCACAGTAAGTTACCATCATCGTGGAGTGCTTCCACGCTCATCGGGTCAAGGTTCAAAAATGCGACAAGCTTCGTGCCAACCTTGAAAAAGCCTAAGGGGAGCTGGTTGTAGCTAAGGAGGAAGTGGTGGCTCGGGGCAAGACATTGGAGACTCAGGGAATGCAGATTGCCGAGCTTTTCAAGGAGAGTTAAAACGCCAAGACTGACGCCGACAAGAACAAGGCCTACTTTCCAATGCTGAGAAGAGAATGATCGACGCCGAGAAGCTGGCTTTTGCGGCTAAGGCAAAGGTGTCCAAGTCGGGGCAGATTTGTGCCTCCCTTACTCAAGAGTTGGACAAATTAAGGTTTGAGTTAGAGGTTAATAGTCTGTTGAAGATGGAGATAGTCAATCGATGTGCTGATGACATCGTGGTGGCATTTGAGGAGGCGAAAAAGGAGTTCTTTAAGAAAGAATGGGACAAGGCACTTTGGACTGCGGGGGTACCCACCGAGTCCCAACTGTTCAAAGAACATGAATATATTCTTTCTGCCGAGATGGAGCAAGCAGTGACTAAAGTTCAAGCCAAAAATGTCGGGGTCCCTCCGATTCCTAATCAATCCACCGGCTAAGAACATTGATCCTGCTAACACTATTCCTGTCCCTTAGACCGATGTCTCCACCACTCCGACCGACATTGTTCCCGTCCATAAAGCACAGACTCCCTATCTATTAGCGTTGATAAACTATTTGGCGATATTGAGGGAGGCATCAGGGGCGACGTCAGCAGTCCAGTTTAGACCTATTTTTGTGATTACATCTCCCTTTTTGTAGCTTGAGGGACGCAAACCAATTTTTTCTTTTTTAAGTGTTTGTTTGATTTTGTCTTCCTATGGGGCTATGTCCCCTCTGGGAGCCAATGTCTAATCCTTTCCAACCTTGAGAAAGGTCCAAGCATCCTCCCTTTTTCTTTTCCTGAATCAAGATGCATTTTGCATTAGCCTTGTCTTCAAGGCGTCATATTTTATATAAAGGCATTCGTGCACTAGGCAGCTCTTAACCCAGGTGTTGGACCCCTTTGAGAGGCTTTGCTCCCTCAGTCTTCTCAGGTGCAAGAGTGTTTTAGACGTCTTTGCCCCTAGGGTTGTGCTCACTCGGGAAGTTTCATTCCTTATATCTTTCGGCGGTGAGGGCGGCGTGCACACCTTACCTCCGAGGCCATGCCCCTTCCTAGACAATGTACTCAACAAGTTCTTTCTTTCAAAAGTAGTACTTTTTCAAGCTTATTACATTCCAAGGCCTAAGTACAGTGTTTCCTTCCATGTCCTCAAGTTTGTATGATCCAGAGCCTTTTATCGATACAACTTTGTAAGGTCCCTCCCAATTAAGCCCCATCTTCCCATCGGCTAGGTTGCGGGTGTTCTCGATCACTTTTCTAAACACCAGGTTGCCCATTTTGGAATTTTCGGGGATTAACTCGCTTGT